TATTCTAAAAGGTGAAATTTCAATGCGTTTTTCTATACAATACGCGTGACAATTGTGAATTTTAAACGTGTGGGAAAATGATGCATTTTCGTTACATGACGCTCTTTTATTTCCGAAAACAATAAAAGCTGCACAAAGAGAACAAAAGATATATGCAGTTTATAGAGATGCTACTATAAGTGATTACTGTTCGTAAGTTTTGAACTTACGAATAGTAATCAGTTATAGTAGCATCTCTATAAACTTTTGATTTGGATGACCGAGACATTCCGGCAGGCCTGCAGTCGTTGATAATGACCCAATCGAAACGCTGATTAAAATAATTCAGGTTCCCACGATAGGGGACATCACAGAGAGTATTCACATATCTAATACGATCGTTGTAAAGCATCTGATGAACACTTTGATATGTGAATCACTACGACGTTTAGGCGCCTCATGATTGCACGGAAAAGAATTTAACAGACCATCGTCGATTCGTTGCTCAAACGACACAAAACGACTCAGTTTTTTAAAAGAACGATTACAGGCGATGAAAAATGGATTGTTTACAAGAGTGTGGATCGGAAAAAAGTCCTTGTATAATGCACTCCAAAACCCGATCTGTAATCGAAGAAGTTGATGCTGTGTATCTGGTGGGGTTGGAAAGGCGTTATTTATTACGATCTCCTGTAAAATCAGACATTTAATTCAGACAAGTAATGTTCTCAATTGGTCCAATTTAAAGGTAGCAATCAATGAACAACACCCAGAATGATGTGCCACCATTTATCACTGAAAAAGCAAGTCTGCATAGAAAGAAAGTGATGCTGAGTATCTGGTGGGATTGGACGGTCATTGTATATTCAAAGATCAAATGTTGAATTCAGACAATTACTAACTGGACCGATGAAAGGTAGAAATCGATGAAAAGCGTCCGGAATTAGCCAATAAAACGGGTGTCGATCAGGACAACACCACCACTCACGTCTTTCTACAGACCCCGCAGAAATTAGTACAGCTTGACTTGTATATCCTGCGACATCCACTGTACTCACTTGACCTTTCATCTTCGAATTACCACTTACTTAGATCCCTACAAAATTATCTTAATGGGAAGAAATTCAATTTTCCGGAAGGCTGTCAAAACTACAGACCAATTCATCACCTAGAAAGATGCCACTTTCTAGGAGGATGGAATCATGAATGTGCCTCAAAGATAGCGACAGGTAATAGAACAAAATGGCACGTATTCACTTTGAAATTCACTTAAAAAAGCTACGAATTTGAATCTCTATACCATACGCTAGACTGGTCAAAGTTTTCTTTTTATTAAATATTTTTAACATATTCCATCTAGCCAATCCTTTATTTGTGATATATATATATATATATATATATATATATATATATATATATATATATATATATAAAAGAAGAGAAAAACCGCAAACGTTTTTGGTTGTAATGTGGACTTTTTTTACAAAAATATATACTATACTTTATTTTCCATAATTTTGCAACATGCGTTTCGGGTCTTGCGATCTTCTTCACGTAAAGAGTGGACATTTCCACAAATTATTAAAATGAATTAATTTTCCTTATGTTTTTCGATTTTAAACATTCTCTTTTTTGTGTTGTAGTAACAAAAATGTCTTTCCTGAATTGGCAGTCAGAAAGTTCTTCTGCGTGAAGGGTAATAAAAACGATTAAGATTGGTCCGAGAAAGGGTGAGGAAAGATAAGACAGTATGTATGCATGGAGAGGTAACATACGTATACACACGCATGCTGACAAAAACACACACAATACAAAAAAAAAAAAAAATGGAAATAGATCTAAGAACACATAGGGGTCATTAAAAGATAAGAATACAGATATCTTTGCCTGAAGAAGGTCACGAAACCGGAAACGCGTTAGCAATGAATTAAGAAGCGGTTGGTTCGATTTTAAGAGTAGCTTCTTAAATAGATAACAAACATTTTCAATAGATTAGCCTATTTTTACCAGGCATTCCATTTTCTATTTATCAGTTAATGTCGTACTTTTCCTTGCGTCAAAAGACCATCGGCTGACTGGTATTGCCAGATTGTGTACGATGAAGAGATTAGAAAACAAAGCCATTCTTTTCGGTCAGCCAGTTTTCGTGTAATAAAATGCACGATTCTCACAGAATATTAATCTCCTTTTACATAAAAAGGAAATCATATAAGAGTAGACTGATGACACGGCAGATATTTTACTTGGAAAAATGGCAATAATAAAGGTGTTTTTCAGGTCAAGGTGCGTTAAGCTCGTTGACAAGAAGTCAAGGTCGATATAGATTTAACATAAAAATATATTAAAAATTAATGATAAAAGGAATCTACAAAAAGCAGTACAAATTAAGGCAAACAGATAAGAATGCCAAATATTCGTTTGTACATCAAAGATTCTTTTAGAACTTAAGGCCTTTTAAGATTTCTTTAAAAAAATCGGGAACAAATACGAAAAACGTGTGGAAAATTGGAAATAGGAGTCAAAAAGTAAAAAGTGAAAGAAAACTGTGTCAAAGAAGTGTCAAAACTACTTGTTATATATTTGAAAAAGAGACTTTCCAACCTAACTTCTCTTGCTTGGAATTAAAATATGTACCTTGACGGACAAGTGTTGTTTTTCCGTTGTATTTTTTCGACCCCCGGGTGCAACAAATTCATTCATATTTATATCCAAGTTTCCTGTGTCCGTTATTTGGGGCGGCTTTCCTGACTTTGAACAATTTTCAGGCTATTTTTTTCTAATCTCTCCATTAAATAGCATTATAAACGAGCTTTATTTTATTCTTTTCTTTTATTCTTTTATCTTTAAGAGAAAACTTGTTAAATGTTGATGGTCTAATTTGGCACAAATCTGCAAGTGTCGGATATCTAAAGATCGAATTTACTTCGATTACTACACGATGAGGTATAACAAAATCTTTATAAATATGTATTTTTATAAAAGTGCATGGTGGGGGGCGGGAAATGAAAAAAATATTTCATTAATGAATATGTAAAGAACTAAGAAAAATAGGTTTCTAGTTTAACAATTATATGTACCAATCATTAGAGCTACTATAATTGTTATTAGCAAGGACAGAGTACTTTCAATGGTGCAGTATTCGACTGATAATATTTTAAATGTAGGTTATAGAATCCCTTAAAAGTACGAAGTCATTTGATGGGAAAAAGTTATGGTGTCATTTGATGAGAAATAAAAAGTACGGTGCCTTTTGAGGAAATCATCTGTAAATTTCATTTTCGTTTTCTTCTCTACAATATGAAATGCAAAAGCAAATCTATAACACTGAAAGTTTACCATTAGCTACGACTTCAGACTGGCCTCGTTTTCACTATTGCATCAACAAGGGATACAAACCAATTATGTTAAATGTGTGGACGTCAAACAAGAACGAAGAGTATAAGTACTACTGGAAAAAAAAATCCTCGTTCTCACTAATAACTCTGAATATTTATTATACAATAAACAATCAAAAGCAACGTTTTTATCCTACAGTTGCTTGATCCAAGCTTTCTTTCATTTTTTTTTTTTCAGATTGGACCGAAGCGACAATTGCAATAGCATTTACTTTGTTCATTGCCGGTATTTTGTTTGCTGCGTTTAGGTAAGTCAGGATCAAAGTTTATTTGAAAATTAATTTAAACTTCGTCCCCTGTTTATTTTATTACATGTTTAGAAAATTTGTAATTCAGAGATCTTTAATAAAGCAACACGCAAAAAAAGCTTCCATTATAGGAAAATAATGCAAGATATACGTCCATTAACTGTATATTAATTTCAATGAAAGGAATCGAAATTAAAGCCATCTTGAAATTGAGTAAATACTTTTTTTATTACACGAAAGAAATGATCATTGCTAATTACCTATTATGTTTACGCAAAAGCTTTATGTTTACATTAATCTTCTCAAACGACATTCTAACGAGAAATTAAACTTGATTTCTTTTGAATAATTAATTTGATTTTGTTATATCTATTTTTCTTTGCATTGTCAAAAGAAAATTAATTTGATCCCTAGAACAAAATTTTAAGGTATGAAAAAAAAAAATAATTGAATGGCCATTATTAGTCATGTTTTCATTTTCATTATGACTTCCGGCATTTGGAGAAAGGGTTACGCTAGTGAAATAAATAAATAAATAGAAAAACTAAATATGTATTGTTGAAAGAAAGAAAAATAGCTGGTCAATCAAACGCTTGCAGCATTTCTTTTGGTACTTTAACCCAGAAACAAATGTTTTACAAGCAACTAAATATTAAGAACTTTGGAATTTACTTTAGCACTTAATAAGGGAACATGGTGACCCCTAAATATTGAACCATCTTCAAATTAATAATTACCAATGTTTGTTTTCTATTCTGTTTTTTTTTTTTTTTTTTATTTTTTCATAGCTATTGGCAGACGATTAAAAAGAGGCACCAAGGCAACAAGTGGAAAATTGTCTTTGAGGAACTTATATTCAAAAATTTAGAAAACGAAGACGAAGAAGATGTCGAAGAACTTGAGAGGATTAAAAGCGCTGATCCTTTGATTTCCTTACGCCGGGGACATTTTGGAAACTTGCGAAAATCAACTATGCCAGCTAAAAGTTTGCGAGCTGTAAGTTGAGACTAAACTATGATATTTCCAAAAAAGAAAATTAAAAAATAAATAAATACAGGGTAAAGTCTGGATACATCTGTACAAATTCTTGTTCATTATATCTCCTGCCCGTGCCCCGCCAAAAAAGAAGTCAAAGTGTCTAATGTCATTTCAATTGGTTACGTCTTCCAATCTAGTTAGGGCAACTGTCATTCAGTTAGTCTCTTGCCGCCATCATGTAATGGTCAGGGGCTCCATCCTGTAGGAACCACTCAGAGAGGACTTCACATAACTTTCCAATTTGGGGTATTAACTGGTTTCTGAACATAGTTCTGTTATCATCACAGAGGAACGGTTTTAACACCTGAGCTTTCGACAATGCACTCCATAATCCGATGTGTCCCTTCCTGTTTGGAAGTGTTCATCCAACGCCGTTTTGCGACCGGTGCTACATTGGTTTGTTATTAACTTTTATTGTGGAATGATATCTACGTAGTAAAACATAATAACATATATATATATAACATAGAGAAAATGTAAGTAAAATATTAAAAAATGTTCTATTAATAATATTCTAGCGATAAACAGAACATACATTGGCTAAAAATAGATTGCATACCTAAGCATGACACGTAGATAACAAACCAAATTCATCCAAAATCCTATTTTAAGACTTTATGATCATCCTGTAAATAAACAAATAAAAGATGACAAGAAATAAACAAGTTTTAGAAACAAGTTAAATGAAAACAGGAAAAAGAATTAATTAAATATATGTAAAAATTTGCAGAGTTTATAATAAAAAAGGATTTAATTAATTTTAATTTGTTAAAACTTTTATTTAATTTAGTTTTATTTTAGTTACTTTATTTTTCGAAAATAGGACGCTGGGAATTTTTGCACACACTTAAAAAAAAACTGCGTCTTGCAAGGTCCGTGCACATAATAGCGTAACTGTTATTGGCGAAGAAAGCGAGCCGAGTTCGAAATCTGGCTTAGACTGTTTACTTTCGCAGAACTGCTGTTGGAAAAAGCGTGAATCCATATCTTCCTCCTCCTGCTATGGGTTAAATAGCAAGATAGATGGGACTCTCTAGCGTTGGCTGGTATCTAGTCTAGGTGAAGGAAAACTGAATTCAGAACACTAGAGAATGTAACGGGAAATCATCCCGCTATCCTTTTCAAAGAAGTCAAGGGAATTCACAGATAATGAAAAAAAAAAAACCATTTCCTAGAGGAGGGACATTGTAAAAAAGAATTAAATAAAATTTCCTGCCCTGAAAAACGCTAATATCATATTTTGAAAATCAAGAAATCAAGAGAAGTTCAAGAAACAAAATTTATTTTGAAAAATACATTTTCTCTTAACGCTCAGTAGCCGATAAATATTCAATATTCATTAGTAAAGATTATATATATATATATATATATATATATATATATATATATATATATATATATATATATATATATATATGTAGTCATCCACAGACAGACTGTTTCGTTGTATCACAGCTCCTTAGTGTAGCTAGACGTCTAATTGCTTCAAGCCGGGATCGAAACGTAAGGGAAGTGGATGCATGAATAAAATGATAAGGTTTTAGGTAAGATATTAGAAAAAAAAAAAAAAAAAAAAAAAATAACTCTTATTATAAGTAAAAAAATATCTTTTATATTTTTTTAAGTAACAACATTAAAATTAGTAAATTTCATTGGCAAAATTAAGAAATCCTTGAGTGTTTATTTTGTTTTAAAGATATATTGGGCAAATCTATTATGTATAAATAAGTCCCAGTTTGCAAGTACGAATTTCTTTATTCAGCAAAAATCATTTAATTTTCAGTTTAACGATATTAAAATTACAAGAAAGGTCATTGCATAATCAATAATTCTGATGTTCAGTTTTCATAAATAATTAAAAAAAACCCCAAAAAGACGCAGGTTTATTAGTATTTTCGGCCGTAAGAGCCATTATCATTTTTGTCTTGTCAACTTAAATAGAATTTTCCTAATGTTTAATTTGTTATTAATCTTCGTCCTTATAAAGAAAATCAGTAAATCTGTACAAAATTTGCTTATTATTAAAATCTTTTCAGCAAAATAGAAAAATATTCTCTTCTACTTTGCTATTTCAGTTATAATCAAAGAGTAGAGGAGAACATTCTTTTTATATTTTACTTTTGAGATGAGGAATTATCTATATACTTTAATTTATTCGAACTATTGTTTTCATCTCAATTATTACTGATGTTATTATAAACAAAAAGTTCTGACCAATTAACCTCTGGCCATCTTCAGATGCCAATTATTTGTTGGTCATTATTCTATTTGGTCATAGTGATAACAGTTCTTGTGTATATTATTTTCATCATGAATTGAACTCACGACCACTGTAACACGTTTAACTAACGCCTATAGCCACAGTGGTGTAAATTTAATGATAGCTTAAAGCTCGATTACTTTGAATAAAATAAAAATCGGAAAATTGGAATGTCCTTTGTCTGAATGAAGTCGTTTAATTATTGTATGTAATTTTATTAGGATTAAATTCCTTCATTTTTTTTTTCACTGCATGTAACCTGTTGTGTTCTTGGATGTTGTCGATCAAAAGTCAAAACTGACACCCGAAGAATATTGGAGGATACACGATCGAAATGTCGTTAAAAAAAGGCAACAGAAAATGCAGAAATTAGTCGAAGCCAGCCACATATAATTGTCATTATTTGATGATAGATGCCTTACCAAAAATACAAAAGGAAAGGATACATTTTTACAGGTTCCTTTTATTCTCATTTTTCCAGTTGTATTATCACAACAACACAGTAGAGGAAGTTAGAGTGAAATATTTAACATCGTCACCAATCGACTTCAATTTGGCCCTGAAAGAAGAAATCAATAAGGTAAAAAAATAAAATAAAATAAGGTAAAATAAGTTTACTTGAATGTGAAGCAACCGTTCATTCTTCATCTTACTCCTTTCTATTTTTTTATGCTTTATTTTCTTTTACCATTTTTTAATTTTTCTGATCCATTTTTTTCTTTGAGTTTTTCTTTGTATATTTTATTTTTATTCCGTTTTTTCTTTACTCGGAATACTTTGTCTTTTTTCAAATCTCTTCCTTTTATCCAACTTTCTCAATCTTTCTGATTTTTCATCCTTTTCTTAAATGATACCCTTGATGCCTTTGAAACAATTCAAACAATGCGTACATAAAGGACAGATAACTTGACAGGCAGTGCGGCATGTTTGTTCTGCCAATAAATATCACTCAACAATATACCACGCAGCGATCTCTCAAACGATCAAAAGGAGAGAGAGAGAGAGAGAGAGAGAGAGAGAGAAACAGAAACAAACAAACAAACAAAAAACTGTTTTCCTTTGAAATACTTTCAGAGCCTTTCAAAAACCACGGAAAACGATCTTAAAATGTTGATATAGAATATTATTGATTATATACATTAGCAGTCCAGTCCGTATTCTCGCCTACACGAGAGGAGACCGTTAACTGATATCAATCAAAAACACTTTTTAATACTCACTATCGCGAGAATCTCGAGATAATAGCCGATTCATAAAGCATTGACGTAAGAAAAAGTTGTTTGTTCGCACTATTGACGACAAAAAAAAATCTACTGTAGCCAAGTAGGAGAATATACTTTGAAGCCAGCAACAGTTATTTTGTACTTTAAAATTCATAATATGTAACAAATAATTGTTTTTCGTGCTAAACTATTTAAACACAAAATAAAATTAAACTAAAAAGATTAAGTCTTTATTAATTAACCACAGATGTCTCATTGTTCGAATTATGATGATGAAGATGATGATGATGATGACGATGATGATGATGATAATGATGATGATACTGTTTTAAACTTTCGTCTTAAATTCGGTGATCTTTTGGAGATTGACACAGTACACCGGCCAATTCTTTTAACGTGTATTATTGCAGCTCATTCTTAGACATGTTTCAAGTGTCGGGTTCAGTGATAGATTATCAAATGTGATATTAAAAACAAAAGAAAGAGCAACATTTTAATATAAATTACCTGGAAGGGGACAAATTCTCCTGGAGCAATCAATGGATCTTTTCTGTTAATTCACCTCAAATAATGCAAAATTACTTATCGCAAATATTAATTCACTCCAAGAAATTATAAATTTTTAATCAAAGTTTTATTTTTTTTTATTTTAAATAAATTTTTGGCACTCTGTTGAAAGTATAAATGTTAAATCAAAATTTGTTTAGCTTGATTCGAAATAACTCCAACCCTCAGAATGAAAAATTACCAAAAATCAGGAAGTTATTCACGTATCGTAAGTGCGAATGACATTCGAGATATTTACAAGAAATTGCCTCGCTCTGGGAGAATTTGGTGTGAATTTTAGTAAATATAAATTCTTTTTTTATTGGGAGGGAATTAACAGAAAAGATTTCGATCAATTTTGCACTGGTAGCACAAACTGCTAGACAAACTGCAAAATGTTTTTGAAAAATTTTAGGTGTCATTTATTTTGAAAGGCGGATGAAAACAAACGTAGAGGAATAATCAGATTTCGAAGAAGAACATGCTGCGCGTTTTGATTTCAGCGCTAATTACCTTAGGAATCCATCTGAATCCATCTCTTCTCCTCCCCTCAGATATGGGTAAATAGTAGGACAGATTAAGTTCTATAGCCATGGTTGGTAACCGGTCTAGAAGGAAAACATGTATGTAGCCCTGATGAAGCACATACTATGCAGTTAAGGAAAGGATCGTTCATGATTCGATGCTCACGACTACGGTCGACTCCTTTTTTAATTTTAGACTTTAACGCATTTTTACACCTTGTCGCGTTCATCAGTATCCTCCTGTAATGAAACGACCATAATGAAAAGAAATCTATAAGGTATTTATTCAACCAAACTGTACGTAAATGTTTCGAGGAATCCTTCAATACATGTGAATTCCGAAATTTCCTACGAACTGAAATAATGATTCCTAGGAGTTTATGTAGCGTTGCATTGTCAACATCCAGTGAGATGTATTCGTTTTATTAATGATGCGCGTCGTATGGCTCCGAAATCATTACACGCCTCGATTTGGTTATTTTCACAATTCATCTTTGGGAGTTTCTCCCAAGTGACAAGGAGGTGTTTAAATGCTATTTCTAAGCAGAAAAAGGGTTAAGCCCCAAATGAAATATAAACTGGAGATAAAGAGAATGAAAGACATTTTCCCTGGAAATGTGGAAGTGAAAAAGGAGCCATGTGGATTGTCTCCCCCTAAGAATTGGAACGATGCACTTTTTTTTACTTTTTTATCAATCAAAAATCTGTCAAACGGGTAAAGCATATCGGGAAACCTCTTTCTTGGGAAATTACAAAAACACATGTCACTGGTGAGACGAGAGACAGACGGGAATTATATTTTTCCCGAAAACGGCGAAAACGAATTGAGAAATGAAAACAGAATGAACCCGCTGTGAGGGTTAAGATTATGAAAAATCGATCCTGTCATGAAGGTGGCCTGGTTCGTGTTTTCGCTAAGCCAACAATTGGCCCAAGGATGGAGAACAGCTTATCTCTTTGTTGAGAATTTAGGTAAACAAATAAGTTTTTGTTGACGAAATAATAATTGAAATTAATAATGAGAATAAATTACGCCTTTTCGCCAACGCGCTTTAAAAATTAGATTTGTCACAAAGACAGTTATGCCAGCCTTGAGAGGTGGGTAGAGTTAGAATACCGAAAAGGAAGGCAGAATCTAGCACCAGTTGTGGGGAGTGGTGTTGCTAGATGTGAAGTGAAGTAGGTTGGAGTTATGGGGTGGGAGAACAATCCCTGTGACTACTCCCAAGAAAATGGATAATTCTCCAAATTTGAAAAGTTGTTTTTAAGAAAGCCGAAATAGGGAACAAAGAAAACCTTTATTGGGATTAATGTGAAAATTGGGGAATCACCGAATCCCCAGAACAATTCGGCTACACGTCATTTTGGGGCCGAAGTGCATATGAGCAGATGTCTTTTGGAGTTCAGGGACCTTGAGCTGAGAACCTGCATTGAGAGCTTCTGAAATTCACGTCAGCTGCCATCAGATTTCCTGATTCTAAAGAATTTTGAACCCAGCGCCTCCAGAATGACAATATCCAGTGTCACTATAGAGATTGATGCGGGAAGGGTTAATTTATATGGTACCAAGATATTTTGCTCCCTTAATATAGCACTCGGCACGGCTTGAAGCAGCGCTGCGATTACGACGACCTTCAATCTTCCACTGCTCTGAGATTAAGAACATAACGTGGACAGAGTTGGTGTAAATCGAAGCGGCCAGCATTGACCAGCGCAGAGTTAACCCTGTGGTTAAAACGTCGTTCTAAGACCTTGAGAACCGGACCACTAAACGTGGTTACACCACCGGGTGTCGGCGGCGGCAAAAAGGCGTTTACATTATCACATTTACGTTCACTGTCATTTATCATTTTCATAATTCTTTTTGTCTTACTTTTTTTCATTATCTTAAAAAGACAAATGAATGTGGTGACTATTTAAAAAGATGCCATATAAAAAGTGTGGATTATTATACAATAGAATTGAATTCTTGCAAATGGTAGTGACATCGTTGAGATTCGGTGTCAAAGGACGTAGTTATATTACATCTGTAATCTGGTGTTTGTGAAAACTATTATAATAAAGTATATCGAGAAAGATCAGGTATAGCTGAGCCCGTAGAAAGGGGGATTGGTATAGAGTCTGTAAACAAAAGTCGTGTATAGCATATCCTATAGTCGAATATCTGGCATAGTAGAGTGTATAGAGAAAGATCCGATATAGTAGCACTAACAAATAAAGTGTTGTCTTTCATGTTTTATGTTCATTTGGTGCAATAGGTCATCTTCATATTCCTATATGAAGACGGCCTATTGCTAATTCTAATGGCCTACCTTTCCTCTTCATCTTTATCAAGTTCATTTATCAGTAAATTCTTTGTTAATTCTCTTGTATTAATTATTGTCTGGGGTAAGTATTATGTGGTTGACGACTTCAGTTGAGTGTGTTTATATTGAAGACGAAATAATAACTCCCTTCACCCACTCCCTTCGAATTCGGAGGACTGGGGAAGAAGAAGAAAAGGAATTCACGACCCTATGTGAAATATCCTTTGGGCAAATGAAACCCTTGCCTTCACAGAAATTGGCCAATGAGTTGACAAGGAGGTGGAAAGGAATTCGCGAGTCTGTGTGAAAGTGTTTTTTTTTACCAATGAGAACCTTGCCTTCACAGAATTATCCGATCAGCCAAGAAGAAAATAAAGTAGCGAGCATACGCGAAATTCTTTTATCATATAAAATGAGGAGAAAAATTAAATTAATCATAGAAAAGTGTCTGAAGTCATGTGAAAGATTTCGTTCTAGTTCCTCGCGACCAGCGTTGATGTTCTCACCAGTGTAAAATTACTCGACAATTATATTATTGGCCTCTAATCAGTACGCGGCTCTTCAAAGAATGTTCTCTTAACAAAGAAAGCTAAGTATTTCAAACTATCTCTCTTCTTCTATTTTGAACGTATGCAGATCATATATCCCTTCGGCGAGCAATGAACTCTCTTACCTTTGTCTTAAGCATTTTTTTAAATATTATTTTGTGTCAGATCATTTAATCTGTTGCATGAATATTTCCTTTTCACGTTAATTTTCCTTTAACGTTAAAACTTTAAGAATTCTGATTTATTCTCCCAAAACTGGCTACTGGCTTCAAGCGTATAAATTCGTTAATAAATTCCTTATCTAGTTTTGTTAAAATTACCCGTGTTACTTCATCATTATCATTGTTCATTAAACTTAGTGGCGAGGGTAAATCAACTGTTCATTTTATTCCCTGTGCTACTATATATTCATTATTCTCAAAATGAATTCCTC